AAGAAACATATTGTTTCCATTTGTTTTCTTTTATTATGTTCTTTTATCATGTTATTTTATTTTACCGTATGCTTATCTTTAATTTACACTATCTATTACTTTTGCGTATTTCCGGTATTACGTAAATATCGGCTACATAAAAACACGCACCAATGTAAAATTTTCCATTGTACCTGAAGAAGGCTGGTTTGGCCAGCCGAAATATAGTACACCTTCAAAAAATCATCCTACGTTGTGTCGGTTTTTGCTTTTGTATTCTTCATTTTATATGTAAAGCCGATTAGATCACTATTGATCCAACGTATACCAGCAGGATCATCGTTCCGGTTGCTTGCTTAAACATTTTAAAAACAGAGCAAGTTAGCGTGGAAACACCAGCGGCTAGTAAGTGTTTTTGCAGTTTTTTTCAAGTTTTCATGAACTTTATGGAGCGTTTTCTATTTATTTAAGACAACATTGCAAACCAAAGAAAGAAAAATGATTGGTATATTTCGATAAGCAAACAGTAGATTATAATTTCTCTTGCTAACATTACGTTATCAACTCGTAAGTACGGCTTATAGCATAAGCTTCCTTGGTGAATGTTTTTTAAGAGGGCAATACATATATATTCATGCCCCGAGAGGTGTGTTCAGAGTTCCCTGTCTGTCCCACCCACCTCCACTCAGCGACGGAAACGTAACCTCCATCCTTCTGCGCCTCTTCGCATGCGAGGAAGTTGTTTTCGCCCATATGTTAGTATGTCCGCGTGTGCCATGGAGGTGCAGCAGAGCGAAGGCAATTCTTCTACTATTTGGGTACACCTAGTCTAGCTCTTCGGTTTTCAAATGAGAAATGGAGGAAGCTTTCGTTTTTATTGAAAAAGTGGTCTTAGTTTAAAGGTAGTTCAAAGACAAGGTTGCATTAAGAATTGTAGAAAACTATAGAAATGTAGCTTGCCTACCTGAGGGATAAAAGCACCAATATGTGCCGCTACCGTACTTTTTACTGTCGAAGCAGCATTTTCGTTCTCCACAGGTTTGGTGGTCTATCCCAAGCCATCCACAGTCCGTTCGGCTGGTGGCTAGAATACTTGTGCAGACAGGATCAGCTAAATCAAAGATAAATATTACAAGGACGACTTCAAATATGCGCCATTAGGTTAATGGATATGAGAATAGTGAAATTGTTAAACTGACCGATGAAAACATCTCTGCATCAAAATATTATCTTTTGTCAAAAAACTAGGAAAAAAAAAACAAAAAACAAAAAACAAAAAAAATTTGGGGACAAACGTAACTCACAAAGTAAAGTTCCCATAGTAACATTGAATTTTGTTGTCATCACTATACATTGCAGATAGAGTCAAAAAGGTTTGCGGTGAATTGGATCCCGTTATATGGATGATAGATCGAGACATCTGACCTTTTGAATGAGCTCCAGGTTTCTTGAATATTACCTTAAGTAACTTTAAGTGTACAGTAAAGGAAAAAATGCATCATCCTGTTACTTCTAAGTACATTGTGTGTCCTTGACGTTTGTTTTTTTCTGAGAGCTCGCTTAATGCTGATATCCTTATCACAGAAAAATTTTTGCGTGTCTCCTAGGTGTCCGTAATAACCACGTACCACTTGTATTGAACAATAAATTCAAACTAAGGGAAATTCGCCTGTTTTAGCAGCGTCACATGACGGGCTTAGACCAACCACTCTCAAATAAACAATTCAATTTTAAAATTCGTATCATTATAATCTGCTAGATTACATCACATGACTCTTAGCTCTCGCTGATAGGGAACTAGTCCCATCATCTCAACCAAAATCACAAACAGTTAGTCACTTAAATTGACACTTACGAACAACAGACGGCGGGAAAGCTGTGCAAATCTTGCCTGTTTTCGGAAATTTTTTATTGTCCTTTTCAATGGCTCTTATTGTCACCGTGCTCTTGTGGATTTTGCAACTGCAGTCCGTTACTCCAACACCTCCTGTTTTAAATAGCACAATAGAGCAGAGACTGAATATGGCAAAATCAAATGCTGGGCTGGTTCCGACGAACATGCTGCTATCAAACTTCTTTGTGTGTCCATCCCACTCGAAATTTAAGCTCATAAAGCTTGGCTACAGAATACAACAAGATAAAATCAAGTTAAAATATACATTTGGCAAGAGAACATGGCGCTTATTTTACAATTTGATGCGAACGAACTAAGTAATTAGTTATCAGAATTATGTTACTCCTTTATCATTATGCCGTTTCGCAATACAGAATAAGATATATAATTTTGGAAGAAAACCGAAGAGTTTTCGACTGCATATCAACAGCGCTCAGTGTTCAAACAAAGGTAGAGACTATCGTGTCTTAATTGATCAATACTCACGTAAAATTGTGAATTTTTTTACGACAAACATTTACAAATTTTTCAGACTGATACGCTGAAATACTCCTATAATATACTACAGTTTATATAATAAAGGTGAGTATACATACATTAATACTGACCTCTGTGTTATAAGTGTAGGAATTGACGGTTACGCCTTTTATTGCATTTGGACTTTTCAATTGCTCGAGGTAAAACTGGTACCAGTTGTGGAATCCTGAGTACGCTTTCTTCTTCAGCTTTTCACCTTGGAAAAGTAAGAGTTGAAATACGGCGAAAATTTTTAGCTGCACATGTCGTGCCTCAGTAAGTAATCGCTTCCTTAGATTTAAAAATAAGTTAAGGCGGCTGATCATGTTGCTTGAGACTACTTTAATTTATCAAATAGATTTCACTAACAATTACGGGCTGGATGGCGTGTAAGCAGTGGTTATTGGTGGTTATTATTATTGAGTAAACGACAAACAATAAAAAGTTAGTTGTCTGTCAACTGCCCTTTTTTCCACAGCTAGCCACCATCTCAGGAGCAGTCGACGAATCAAAAGAATGGGTTTTCAAATTTTGCCACAGTGTTTCTCTCTAACTCTTCCGCTCAGTTAGGAAGTACTTGGTAAGTTACAAAAGGTGTGAGCCGCATGCGCAAAGGTTCTTAAGTTCCTATTTAATTACATTCGCATTCAATAACATTTCCCACTCAGATATTTTTCAAATTTTTGCTGCAGTTAGATAAAAATTCGCTTTTCAAATAACTTTGTCAGTTTAAAATCCGGGAGGATGCTGCATCATACGAAATTAACACTAGCCTTAAAATAGATATTTTCCAGAAAGTTGGTATGATGACGTCACCAGCCACGTGAAAATTTCTAAATGTGCATTTCATGTCGGTTGTAGGACATAAATTGAGAAATTTGAAAGCACTTTCAATATATGAAAGGATAATGGTATAGAGCATTTAAAAATGCCCAGGTTACGTCTCCATCTCACAATTTAAAGGGGGCTATTCTTCTTAGGGTAAAAAGTGGAAGACTAGAACGAAAGTTATATCTTTTCTTGGTTAGAACGTACAGAAACTTAAAATTGCGAGTTGGTAAATATAATTCAATTTAATTTAATTTATTGGTTAGAACTTTACAATAGAAATGAAAGCCGGAAAAATAAACATACAAAACCACAATTAATAAATATATATATATATTTATATAATAACCCAAGTTATTCTCGCATTTTGATTGGTTCTCGCCTATGATCTATTAGAGGACAGANCGCACGATTGACGTCATCATTACAAAGTTTTTCCCTCTGTGTTTTAAAATGGCGGAAAGTTTTGAGAATTTAGATAATATTTTACATGACTGGCCAAAAGATAAGGTACAAGAAAGTCTTGTCCAGGCATTGAACAGGTACCAGAAGCATAGTATAGCAGGAAGAAGAAAGATAAAGTCGTTTCTGTTGTAGAAAATGACTCAGAAAAAATACTCGAGCAGTCTCAGTCGGCAGTCGAGCGAGACTAAACCAAACACAGAATTAGTCTTGGTAAGCC